CATCAGTCAGATGATCTCTTCCTGAGTCCATAAAGAAAAGCTAAGGAGGGGTGGGGGAGCAATCAGCCTACCTTTAGCCAAAGCTTCCACATAGGAACGTGAGTTCAGAAACAACAGTTATATCTAAGAGTTGCTCTTTAGATAATAGCATCATTACAGCAAATTTTGGTATCTGCTAAGGCAACATTCTTTAACATTCTTCTCACTTATTCTTTTATTAGTTCTTAGGGACTTATTTTCTTCCATATAGATTTTCAGATATTTTTGTCTCTTCTACCTCCATCCCCCACTTAGATTATGGATCAAGTATGAGAATTGCTTTAAGCTTTTCTTTCTTTTTTTTAGAGGAATTGTTATTTTGTAACAGCATTTTTTCTCATCCAGGAACTTAATAATGTCTTTCTATTTCCTCTGATCTTATTTTATGCCCTTCATTAATATTCTTCTGTGCATTCTTAAGAATATTACTTCCAAATATTTTGCAATTTTTTTTTTTTTTTTTTTGAGACGGAGCCTCAAGTTATCCCCCTGGGTAGAGTGCCATGGCATCACGCTTACAGCAACCTCCAACTCCTGGGCTCAAGCGAGTCTCCTGCCTCAGCCTCCCAAGTAGCTGGGACTACAGGTGCCCACCACAACGCCCAGCCATTTTTTGGTTGCAGCCATCATTGTTGTTTGGCGGGCCCGGGCTGGGGATTCGAACCCGCCACCTTAGGTGTATGTGGCTGGCGCCTTAGCCGCTTGAGCCACAGGCGCCGAGCCATATTTTGCAATTTTTAAGTGGAATTGAGAATGAATTCTTTTTCTCAATTCACTTTCTATATCCTCGTTACTGGGACAATTGAAAGTTACTATTTTTACATTTACTCCATAAAAGTATACCTTAAAAACTGTGAGAAAAGTGCTATAAGCAAATATATGATAACACATTTGAAAACACTGGAAGATACAAATAATTTCCTAGAGAAACATAAATGAGCAAAATGTCACCCCCAACAAAAAGGAAACCCTTAACAGATCAACATTTGTTGAGAAACTCCACTTAGTAAAACTTAGTAACTACAGATCAAATTTCATGAACTTCAAAGCATTTCCTTCACAAGAGGCTGACTAACCCAATTCTGCATAAATTGCATCACTTCAAAGTCTAAAGTAATAAAAAGGTGTTTTGAGAATCTGTCAATGCTGACTTCACGCGGGAGAACGGAAGATTAACGTTAAGTCACCAGGTTGCACAAGCTGAGGAACAAGCACAAACACCCACAAAATTGGCCTGGGTCTGATGCGTGGAAAACCAAGGCTGGGCTGGCTCTCGGACACGCCGTGCTAATGAGGGAGAACAGAGGTGGAGTTTTCTCTCCCCTTAATCTCTCTGTAGGTGCACCTTCCAGAGAAAGATCAGCCCTGCTTCAGCACTGCTAGTCTTGGATCAAAAACAAATTCATGCTGTGAAGACTGTGCTTTCAGAAACACACCTAGAGTTCAGACTAAATGAACCCAGAAGAATCTCAAGAAGTTTCAATAAAAGCAGGCAAACTAAAAGGATATTCAAAAGAAAATAATGGGAAACAATATTTAAAAATTTCTATAGGCCAAAAAGCATTTACCTGGAAGATGATTTATTAACAGTTCAGGTGAGTAATAGACTCTAATCCCCTTCCTAATGCCAGTGAAGAGAATAATGGTGTTTATTGAAAGGAGCCCACTTAGACATGCCCAGAATTGCAGAAGAAACATGTTCATGCATTTAAACTCGAAGTTCAATGCTTCTCGGAGCATTAGGTGAATACAAAACAGAATCACCTGTTGTTCTGCCCCCCCCCCCGTGAAGATTGGCAGCAACAAAATACATGTGACATTTCTGCTCTCTCTCTGATCAATCTTTTCCAGAGCTTTTACAGTTGCTCATTAGGACACCAATACTAAACAGAGTGTAATAAGCTGTACATGTTTTACAGGTTTGACAAACCTTCTTGGAACTTACTAATCCCAGAAGTATCAGCATATGATGCCTCGGTGGGTAAGAAGCCAGTAATACATGAGTCTTTGGTAGAAAAATGTGCTGACCACAAGGAATAAAGAATGAGAGGCTCCCCATCTTCAGAAGCATCCCCTGTCCTCACCATGCTAGAGCTGGTGGTTATCAGCGGCTATACCCTAAAATCCATGGAGGGTATTTTTCCTTAGTGCTCTATGCTGTCTTTAGACGCCATCCTTCTACAGGTTGGTGTATGTAACAAAGCAGGAAATACATATGATCTAATTTTTTTTTTTAAACAGAGTTTCACTCTGTCACCCTGGGTAGAGTGCTATGGTGTCACAGCTCACAGCAACCTCAAACTCTTGGGCTCAAGCAATCCTCTTGCCTCCACCTCCCGAATAACTGGGACTGCAAGGTGTCCAGAACCACACCTGACTCGTTTCTCTGTTTTTAGTAGGGATGGGATCTTACTCTTGCTCAGCCTGGTCACCAGCTCCTGAGCTCAAATGATCCATCCACCTTTGCCTCCCAGAGTACTAGGATTGCAGTTGTGAGCCACTGTGCCCAACTATGATCTGAATTAAAACAATTATAAAAGAAAAATCCCCTTCCTCAGGAATTACCAATAACAAGACTGTACCATTTGATTACTAGAAAAACAAAAGTCACCATTCCCACAAACCTTTCAAGTATTTGAAGACGTCTGTGAAATGTGCTCTTTGTCATCACAAGGAAGATTTATAACATACAAATGAAGAGTTGTAACATCACCAGAGAGTGTAGTAAACTATTTGGCTTTGCATATCTGATCCTCATGTTTTCATACCATATCATCACATCACCTGAAAGGATGGAAAGGTTAGGACAAGGCTAGGTCCAGGAGGGACCCTAGTCTCCTGGATCTGGACGAGATCCAGAATTTGTGTAGTTCTGAGGCTAGTGTCTTAGACTGATACGCTTATGATGTTGACTTTATTTTAATTTCTTATACAGGCATTCCCTGAGTTACAAACATCCAACTTATGCATAATTCCCACTTACGAATGGAGGCTATTACAATAAGTCCCCAAGTTACAAACAACACCTGACATATGACTTGCACCTACAGAGGCCTTTATACATAATAAGTAAATGTATCTGTTCCAACTTACATGCAAATTCAACTTAAGAACAAATTTCCAGAACCTATCTTATTTGTAACCCAGGGACTGCCTTTAGCCTAACAAATTATTACTATTAAAATAACATTTAAACTCCTTAATAGAGCTGAGCACGATGGTTTAGGCTTATGCCTGTAATCCTAGCACTCTGGGAGGCCAAGGGAGGTGGATTGCCTGAGTTCACAGGTTCAAGACCAGCCTGAGCAAGAGCGAGACATCATTTCTAAAAATAACTGGGCATCATGGTGGGCACCTGTAGTCCCAGCTACTCAGGAGGCTGAGGCAAAAGAATCATTTAAGCCCAGGACTTTGAGGTTGCTGTGAGCTATGAGGCCATGACACTCTACCAGGGGTGACAAAGTGAGACTCTGTCTCCAAGAAAAAAAACTTTAATAGAACTAAAATCTATCTTTTTCGTAAGAGTCCTATTTTCTCAATAAAGAGGCAGAAAAGAATGACCTATAACAAACTTTATGGGAGGCAAAAAGGGACAAGCATTCTCACATTTAATCAACAGGAATGTAAATTGCCTTTCAGAGGACAATCTATTAAAAATTTAAACCATGTGTTCCCTTTGATCTAAAAGGTACACTTGCACAGATTTTAAAGATATTTTCATGTGTTCACTTTGCAAAGTCCTAGGAATATTCTAGTAAATGACATGGACATGATCCCTCAGTCCAGGGAGCTAAGAAATAAATTACACCAGACTACTAAGTACTATACAGGAAACAAATTGGGACGAATGGTAAAAATAATAACCATTATAATAACAATAATGGGGATGAGGGTGCCCAGGCTTTGAGAATAAAGCTCTTTCTCAGAAGGCCTCATTAGCTGTGGTCTGGGAAGGCAGGGCCCGGTACTGATTGAAGACCTGAGGCAGAAAGAGTTGAGGGTTTGGGAAGAACAAAAGAAGTTGTGTGCAAGAAGGAGGGAGTGTGTGAGGTGATTAAGGAGGAAAACGGGGAACGAGCTGGGCAGGTGCCTCTGAGCCGCAGCAGACAGTTTCAGTTCTGTTCCAAGTACGCTGCAAGCCGTGATCTTTTTAAGAATAGCTCTCAGCCGGCTGAGTGACGGTGAGAGTGAACTGAGCAGGAGAAGGGAAGGAAGCACGGGCTCTCTATGTTTGGGGAAAGGAAAGAGGGAGGATCTCCCAGTGTTTTCTGGTCAGTGGTGAGATTACGCTCTGCAAAATGGCTGTGGAAAGCTAAACTCAACTTGAAACTGGATGTTATTAGGAATTTGACTAGTGAGGAAGAGAGAATTAAATGGATTCAGAATGAGTTTTGTGAGTAAATCCATCCTTCTCAGTTTTACTCCCAGCAAACAAGAACCAAAGAAAGAATCATTTCATTGAAGCAAGTGAGAGCAAGATTCATTGGAAAATTCCTCATTCACACTCCTTATGACCTAATGAAAATACTCCCACAAATCAGCTATTGTCCCATCATACCAAATCAGAGCCAAAAGGAGTAGACCTGGACCACAGCATAAGAAATTTTTTTTTTTTTTTTTTTTTGCAGTTTTTGGCCAGGGCCAGGTTTGAACCCGCCACCTCCAGCATATGGGGCCAGCACCCTACTCCTTTGAGCCCAGGCACCGCCCATAAGAAAAATTTTTTAAAAGTTGCATTCATCCATATTTACCCTTCTGAATTTGAATAAGTGTGTGAAAAAAATTACGCAAGTCTTTTTAAAGAAATAATTTTAGGAATCACAGAAGCATAGTGAACCTCGTTACATAAGATCAAACAAGAAATTGGGTCACTATCTCCATTTCCTCATTATTAAAGCACAAACTGTTCTCTGCAGATGCACAGTCACTGCATTTCCTGACATTTCTGATGCCGTCAGGCGATGGTGCTAACAGGAGAGGTGTATGATTCCCATCACCTTGAAAAGCAGAAAGTGGTGGGTCACCACCACTGCAGGCCATTCCAGGCGTATCTGTATGATTTTGTTAATGCGTCATCTGTGAACCTGATATCTCAATTCATGAAATCTGTGAACATTCAAGAACAATTAAATATCAAAAAGTACTACTATCTGGCAGGTAAGTTATATTACATACATATTCTCAGTCAAAACAAACAAAAGGCAGTGAAGGCTTGCCAGGGAAGGCAGAGTTTAAATAACATTCTTTCCTTGATGGGCAATAGAGCTGCCATAGATAATAGAGCATCATGGAATCCTCTGAAGGCACTGCCCATTTGAATATTCATTCTTAATGCTTCAATCTTCATGCCACAGTATGTCATAACTCAATGTCCAACAAATAAAAACTCATTTCTTTAGCTTTCTAAAATTGTGATGTGTTGAATGTACTTTCCAACTCTTAAATTTGCAACATGGTACTTTAACTAAAGGACAATATACACGTGCAGTGAAATTCCCTTCTAATGATTCTGGTTATTATTGTCATAATTTTATTCTTATTTCAGCCTCTTGAATAAGAGCTAGTTTCAAGTTAGACTTGGTTTCCCAAAACCATTATCCAGAGAGTGATAACATAACCACTCACAAGGATACACTAGAAAGTCCTCTCATCTTTCCTTTTCCCAAACATAAATGAAAGAGTGAGAGGAAGCACTGCATAGCCCAGAATGCACGATGTAAATGCACCAGCAGCAGGAGTAACCTTCATGTGCGACCTTCCCACCACAGCAGAAAGGTGGCCCCAGTACTAGGATGCTTTATTTCCTTGTGGAGGTCCCTGATCTTCTAAAGAAAAGGAAATATTGACTTAGAGCAATGTCAAGGGCACATAGAAAGAAGAGTAGAAAGCCCAGTCTGCCTATGGAGAGCACGATGGGAATTACTATTGTTACCTACAATCTCCCCAAGTTTTCTACAATCCGCCTTATCTGGGACAAGTAGATGGAGCCATCCTGCCACAAACCAAGTATGCCACATGCCACTCCTATCAAGTGTCCGGGCCCAACCAAGAATCCTTAGATGGTATTTCAAAACACAAAAGTGAGATACTGATGAAGTTCCAAATCTATGTTAAGGTAAGGAAAGAGTGGAATGATAATCACCACTTTGAAATCCTAATTAATTAAAATTGTCAACAAACTGGAGTTTTAGGAAAGGCAAATCACAATAAGGTGAGCCATACCTAGAATTTAGTCCACAATGCAATTAAAATGGGTATGCTTACAAATATCATAATTCCTGGCCACCATTTTTTAAAATCTCCTTTGTTTTTAGCACAATTATGCTCTGAAGAATTGCAATATATTAGATGATGGGAAAGAAAAAATTGAAAGTTTATTAAATTTGTCTCTTCCTCCCTGCCCCAAAGTTTAGAATGTTATTCATAAAAGCTAGCTTTCCTTAGGTTGTTTTTTTAAATAATTGTCTTTTCTAATTATCAAACCCGTAAATTCTGATTACAAAAACAAAATCAGAAATATACAAAGGTATGATGAAGAAAACACCTCTATAATCCCCTCATTCAAAAAGTTCTAGTAGTATATTATGATGGTTCCCTCTAGCCTTTACCCATGCTTATTATATATTTCCTCTCTTATACTCTAAGAAAAAAGCACCAATATACATCCATATAAACCCAAGACTCTCACCACTATAATCAAATTCAAACACTAAATTCAGAAAGGTAACCAACATTTTGGTCACTAAATTTCACACTATAAAATTACTTAATAAACTCAATAATGCACACCCCATGTTCTATCCACTCAAATTTGCTAACTAGTCACAGAGAAACCACCTCTTAATCCAGAAAAGACTTTATCCTATGCCTTAGTCTTTCTATGTTGGAAAGGATTCAGTAGTACTCACTTTCTGAAAGTACATAAAATATAAACTTATAGAATTTAGAGGGAACTCTACAAAGAACATCAAACCTGAACTTTTGAAACTATTTCTCCAAATGGAAGCACTTTTTTTTCTTTTAAACAGAGTCTCAGGGCAGCTTCTGTGGCTCAGTGGGTAGGGCACTGGCCCCATATATTAAGGGTGGCAGGTTTGAACCCAGTCCCGGCCAAACTGCAACAAAAATATATTCAGGTTTTGTGGTGGGCGCCTGTAGTCCCATCTACTTGGGAGGCTGAGGCAAGAGAATCACCTAAGCCCAGGAGTTGGAGGTTGCTGTGATGCCACAACACTCTACTGAGGGCAATAAAATGAGACTCTGTCTCTAAAAAAAAAAAAAAAGAAAGAAACAGAGTCTCATTCTGTCACCCTGGGTAAAACGTTGTGGTATCATAGCAACCTCAAACTCTTAGGCTTGAGCAATCCTCTTATGTCAGCCTCCCAAGTAGCTGGGACTACAGGTGCACACCACTATGCCCAGCTAGTTTTTCTATTTTTAGTAGATAGGGTCTGGCTCTTGCTCAGGCTGGTCTCAAACTCCTAAGATCAAGCAATCCACCCACCTTGGCCTCCCAGAGTGCTAGGATTACAAGTGTGAGCCACCATGCCTGGCCTAGAAGCACCTTTTAAAGACCAACTAATTATTTCTTTGTTAGAGTCAACACCCATAAGATCTGTCATAAATATCATTGAAGGTGTATGGTGTCACTTAGGAGTCAGCAAGTTTTTTTCCTATAAAGAACAAGATAGTAAATATTTTTGATTTTGTGGCCATACAGTCCCTGTCCAACTATTCAACTCTGCCATTGTAGCACAAAAGCAGACACAAATAAAGCATTAACAAATGGGTGTGACAGTGTTCCAATAAAACTTTATTTACAAAAATCTTTATTTCAAAAATAAGACTTTTCTGATGGTAAGATAATAGTTCCAAAACAATGTGAATATATTTAATGCCACTGAGCTCTAAACTCAAAAAGAGTTAAAATAGTAAATTTTATGTTATGTATATTTTACCATAATTTAAAAAGAAACAAAATTTTGCCTATAACATAATCCTTTATGCTTAAAATACTTTGTGATTCAATGATTTCCCTAAAACTAAAAAACTTCTAAAATCTGATACATAAATACAAAGATAAATTTACTCTCCTAATGAACCTTTGTTTGAATACTGCAGAATTACAAGCAAACTAATTAAAATGATGTTGGTAGTTTTTCTTATGTCCTATAACTTGAGGTAGAGTCCAAATGTTTAGACATGTCCAAGTATGGAGCATTGAGCATGGTGACTGCTTCAAGGGAGATGTCTTGAGTAATTTAAAAGAGAACAAAATAAACTACCTTATTAGGCAATTTACTTTTGAAAGAAATACAGTAGGAAAGATGTCATCTGAGCATTATCAGAGAGTTGCTTTGCAATGTATTGTTTGTATATTTCAAATATCTGAAGTAGCATAATTGTATGATTTTATTTCTAATTGTTTTTTTCGAAACTTACATTAATTAAATTATAAAGCTTCTGCATAGCAAAGAAAATAATTAACAGAGTAAATGAACAACCTAAAGAATAGGAGAAAAGATTCACATGCTATACATCCAGTAAAGGGCTAATATCCAGAATCTACAAATTAGCAAGAAAAGACAACCAACCTATTTAAAGGTGGACAAAAGACAGGAACAGAAATTTCTCAAAAGAAGATATACAAATGACCAACAAACATGAAAAAATGCTCAACGTCACTAATCATCAGGGAAACACAAATAAAAACACAGTAAGATACCGCCTTACTTAGAATTGCCATGATTAAACAGTCAAAAATCAATAGTGCTGGTGTGGATGCAGAGAGAAAGGAACAGCTGTATACTATTGGTGGGACTGCAAATTATTACAACCTCTATGGAAAACAGTAAGGAGATCCCTCAAGGAAACAAATGTAGATTTACTATTCAGTCCAGCAATCTCACCACTGGGTATCTACCCAAAGGGAAAGAAGTCATGTTATCAAAAAAACATTTGCACTTACATGTTTACCACAGCACAATTCACAATTGCAAAGATGTGGCTTCAAACTTAAGCACCCATCAGTTCGTGAGTGGATTCTCACCTGGTACCAGGGAGTAATACTTAGCCACAAAAAGGAATGAAATGTTGTCTTTTGCAGCAACTTGGATGGAATGGGAGATGATTATTCTTATCGAAATATCTCAGGGATGGATATCAAGCACCAGATGTACTCTATAATAGTTGGAAACAGAACAGTGGCCACATATAGGCACAAAGTGATGCTGCAGTCACTGGAATCTGAGGAGGGGGAGGGTGAAAAGGGACAGGCGTAAAAACTCACTTATCAGGGACAGTGAACACTATTCTGGTGACTGGCACACTAAAAGCGCTGGTTAAGCATTATACAATGTATTCACGTAACAAAAACATTTATACCCCCCTTAATATTTAGGGGGGTAACCCACTAATGACTGCTTGATGGGATTATTTTTTCTTAATATTTGTAGTGATTTTCAATAAATGTATGATTGCTCAACCTCTACATTTTGCTTAACCTTAGATCTACCCCCACACATTCAGGCTGAAAATAAATTGCTCTTCCACAAGTTAGATTTCAGGGGATTTTTAGTGTTTTGCTTTGCTTTCCAGTTGTCATTGTTATCATAAGAAGCCAACTAGATTTTTTTCAGCTCAGTCAGACTAGATTTTTTTGCACTTCTACATCATGATTAATTTATTATTCACCTGGTTGGTACCTTCCTATTAAACGTTGTCTTTAGCCTGTGAACTTTTCTTTCAGCTTCCAACAAAGGATTTCATTGCTTTAGGAACTGAGGTGTGTCTAAGTTTTACCTGGGAGCAAAAATGATGTAAGCGTTTCTGGTGAGACCAGCCCTTGGTACGGGGTGGGGAGGGACCGCAGGCATAACAGGCCATCTGTAGACTCCTGCAGAAGGCAGCAGAGACGCTGCTGAAGGCGTTTCTTAGACTTCATCCACAGACTACTGGCAGGACAGGAGCCACAGCTCACTTGGATTTGTTCACCAGGGAAAACAGACCATGATGGGGCTTTTTCCCAGAACCACAGGGGCTCTGGCCATTTTAATGGTAAGTCCTGTACTTTCCTAATAATCTCAAATTTCCCCTGCTTCCTTCTTTGCTAGAAAATGTAATATTTGATTGCTGAATCCTTATTATAATTTCTAAAAAAAAAAAAAAAAAAAAAAGGTGCAGGGCAAATAAACATTTTTAAATGAAATCCTAGGGATTTCCCATCTCCTTGTGTTGTTTCTTTACATGTTGTATTTTACATAGAAAAAATAAAGCAGGAGGAAATGAATTTTAAAGTACTCATTTAGTATTACTTTAGTTAACAAGTTAAATAATCCTAATCTCAGGTTATATTTTTCTCAGCTCCTTCATTTTCTTCAAAGTTATGCTTTTTTTTCATTTTTCTAACACATACATTACATACCAGGGAGCTACTTCTATTTTTCAAGATTATATGTCTCTTAGAAATAAGGCCAAGAACTCTACATGCCTAGTCTTGATACCTGACAAGCTTTTAAAACAGTCAGACTACTGAAGCAATGTTAGACTGTAGAGAAGGTGGGAGAATTCTTAAGAAATGTTTATGTTTTGCCATTACATGCAAAAATATAATAATAATCCAGCTTTTGGGTAAAGAAAAAAATCATACAACATTTTTTAAGCTATCTTTTCAGGTGAGTAATACATCTATGGATTGGGAAAGTTTTACATAGTGTTACCTAAAAGAAAAGTAAAATATTAACCTGAATATTAGAGACTAGCTTATTCCTTTAGTGAAGAGAAAAATATTGTCAGTTACCTGAAGATATCAAAAGTACTAAATACACCTTCAGTTAATATCCAAGATAAGTCCTAATGCCAATTCCCATGCTGTCCATGATAAGCTGGGTTGGCTAAGGCATCAGTTTGCCTAATTTCCTCTTCTAAAAAAATAGAGATGAATGGATTTCAATATGTAGCAGAGAGCTAGAGCTCAAGAAAGAAACTTCCAAAAACTGGAGTTGTCTAATGTTAGATTAGGCCACTTGGTGCGCTAGACTTTCCCAGTCTTCCTTCTCAAGAGAGTGCTCAAGCAGGGAATGCGTCTCAGCACTTCCTCAGATTCTGTTTCTCTTA